GGCCACCGGCCTCCCAGAAAAACCCCAAAAAAACAAAAACCACCCCCCCAACACACACATTCCCCCCTTCCCACCTCCCCAAACCACATCCCATCCCAAATTGAGCCACCTGGGCTTTGCAACCGACCGGTCAGGGCACGCAACGGGGTTCTTCTGCCACCCGTAGGTGCCCCGTTGGGCACCCATGGGGTGTAGACGTTCCCAGACATGGACAAGGGCGAGGGGCAGCCCCCCCCCACCCCACCCCGCCACCAGGGGGCGGGGATGTGGGATTTTGGGTGAGCCGTGCTCATTGCGTTTGTTCCCGCCGGCGTAGGCTCGCTCTGGCGGTACGTGCGAGCCAGCATGACCCTTTCTGGCTACCTACCGCCACTCTGCGACCCCAAGGACGGCAACTTACTGATGGACGGTGGTTACATCAACAACCTGCCAGGCAAGTAGCAGCTCAACACTGGCACCGTCATCGCCCAACCAGGGGGCGGCAGCCAAATGCAGCGCCGGGTCTGGCCCCGCCCCCGGCCCAGGGCGGTTGGGTGGCCACCACAAGATGGGTCTTCAAAGGCTGGAGATGTTGAGGTTGGATGTGGGATGTCTTGCTTGGGCTTGCATCTTCTTGGGGTCTTCGTTGTTCAGCAGCCTCTTGGGGCGCCTCTCCATCCTCTTCCACATGCAAAAAGCGTTGCTCCATCGTGGCGTCATCTCTTGGTGTCCTCAGTACCAGGTGGCTTCCTAAGGCATCTTCATATTTCTTCATGCGCAGGATGCGTCCCTTCATCTCGCATCATCTCTTGGTGTCATCGGCGTTGGGCATCCTCTCAGGGCATCTTCATCCCCCTTCACGTGCCAAAAAAGTCGCACAGTCTTGCATCGCCTCGTGGTGTCATCAGCACCGGGTGGCTTCCCAGATCATCCTTCTTCAAAAAAAAAAATCCCACCATCTTGCTTCATCTCTGGGTGTCTTCAGCACTGGGTGCCCCCCTAGAGCATCTCCACACTCCTCATGTACCAACCATCTTCCTCCATCCTGCTCTCCTGGTGTCCTTGGTGTTGGGTGTTATTCGGGGGTGTCCCTGTCCTCCTGCAGGTACAGGCCACCTCCCTCCATCCTGCACCATCTTTTGGTGTTCCTCAGCATCGCATGTCCTCCTGGGGCATCTTCGTGCTTCATGATGTCCATCTCGCGTCATCCTCTCTTGATGTTCTCAGCTCCAGGTGCCCTCCTTGGGCCTCTCCATCCTCCTTCACCCACAGGACACCTCCATCTGTCTTGTACCAGCTCTTGGTGTCTTTGACACCAGGTGTCCTCCATGCCCTTTCACAGGCAAGCCACCTGTGTCTCATACCACCTCGTGGTGGCCCTGGGTGCCTTCCTGGGGCACTTTCATGTGCAAGCCACCTTTGTCCATCCTGCCTCATCTTCTCCTGGCACCCTCAGCACCAGGTTGCCTCCTGGGGCATCTCCATTCTTGTTGATGTGCAAGCCATCTCCTGTCATCTCTTGGTGGCGTTGCCACCAGGTGCCCTCCATCTTCCTTCACGTGCACAGCACCTCCCTCCATCTCAAACCATCTCTTGGGATCCTTGATGCCAGGTACCCTCCTGGAACATCTCCATGCTCCTTCCTGTGCAAGCCACCTCCCTCCATTCTGTCATCTCCTGGTGTCCTTGGCACCGGGTGGCCTCCCAGGACATCTCCAGCCTTGTTCCCATGCAAGCCACATCCCTCCATCCTGCACCATGTTTTGGTGGCTTTGGTAGGGGGTGGCCTCCTGCGGCATCTTTGTGCTCCTTCATTTCCAAGCTGTCTTCCTCCGTCCTCCCTCATTGTCTCTCAGTGTCCTCAGCTCTGGGTACCCTCCTGCAGCATCTTCATCTCCCCTCATGTGCAAGCCACCTTCCTCCATCTTCATCATCTTTTGGTGGCCTCAAGCACCAGGCGCCTTCCTGGAGCATCTCCATCCTCCTCCACATCAAGCCATCTCCATCCACTTCGTCTCCCGGTGTCCTCACCACTGGATGTCCTCCACACCAGGTGCCTTCCTGGAGCATCTCCATCCTCTTCCACATCAAGCTGTCTCCATCCACCTTGCATTGTCTCCTGGTGTCCTCACCACTGGGTGTCCTCCTGGGGCATCTCCACGCTCCTTCACATCCCATCACAGATGCCGCAACTTGCCTGTGCCCTCCCATTGCCCCAGCACATGCACCAGGTTGCCTGACTGCTCCGCTTCCCACCGGCACATCCTGCCACTGGGCTTCTGCCCCCAGCTCCAGCACCCATGGGATACTGCTCGTCCCACCACAAGCCCCAGCATGGCTTTGCCATCCAGCCTGGGCTTGGGGACAATCCCTCAACCCCCATTTCCCTGCTCCGCTCATGCCACCACCTCTCATCATGGGTTCAGACCAGGGCGGGGGGAACCATCATCCTGCCAATCCAACTTCTTCCCTTCCAACCCTGCAGCCGACATCGCCCGTAACATGGGCGCCAAGACGGTGATCGCCATCGATGTGGGCAGCCAGGATGAGACGGACCTGTGCAACTATGGGGACAGCCTGTCTGGCTGGTGGCTTCTCTGGAAACGCCTCAACCCCTGGGCTGAAAAAGTCAAGGTGAGGACCTTTGAGGGGGGGCAGGATGGGGTGGGGATGCTGGTGAGATGGTGCGGGCAGGGTGCTGAGCACCTTGTCCTCTCAGGTGCCCGACATGGCGGAGATCCAGTCCCGCCTGGCCTACGTGTCGTGCGTGCGGCAGCTGGAGGTGGTGAAATCCAGCTCGTACTGCGAGTACATCCGCCCCCCCATCGACCGCTTCAAGACCATGGATTTCGGCAAGTTCGACGAGATCTACGTGAGTTGGGGGATGGAGAAGCCTGTGGGGTAGCCTTGGACCATCATTTAGGGTGCCTCTGGCTATCAATGGGGTGCCCCAAGCCATGGGTTGGGGTTCTCCAGCCATCTGTTGGGGTGTCCTGGCCATTAAGAGCGTGCTCTGGCCATCAATGGGGTGCCCCAAGCCATGGGTTGGGGTTCTCCAGCCATCCGTTGGGGAGCCCTGGCCATTAAGGGGGTGCTCTGGCCACTAATGGTGTGCCCCAATGTGGCTTGGGGTGGCCTTACCATCAGTTGGGTGTCCAGGCTATGAACAGGGTGTCCTGGCCATCAGGTAGGGTCAACTAGTAATTGATTGGGTGCCCCAGTCACCATCTGGGGTGCTCTCGTCCATCGGGTGGGGTGCCTCGGCTATCAGTTGGGTGCTCGAACCATCATTCAGGTTGCTTGGGCCATCAATTGCCATGCCCTGGCCATTATTTGGGGTGTGGGGGCCATCATTCCGAGTACCTGGGTCAGCAGTTGGGGCTCCCTGACCATCAGTTGGGCTGCCTGGGCCACTGGTCAGGGTGCCCAAGCCATTGGTTGGGTGCCCCAGCCATCAACAGGGTACTCTTGGCCATCATTTGGGGGTGTCCTGACTATGTTGAGCACCCCAGTCATCATTTGGGGTACCTTGGCCATCAGTTGGATGCCCCAACCATCAATCGGCCCATCAATTGGGTGCCCAGGCTGTCATTTGAGGTGCCCCAGGCCATTGTTTGGGGGTGCCCAGGCCACCGATGGGTTGTGGCTGCTCTCCCTGTAGGACGTAGGGTACCAGCACGGCAAGGTGGTCTTTGATGGCTGGAGCCGAGGTGACATCATTGAGAAGATGGTGAAGGACCGGCGTTCGGCCGACTTCTATGAGAGCAAACGCATGGACGTGAGCAGGGGGTGGCACTGGGGCACGTGGGTGGTGGTGGCTTCCTGGGCACCCACCTCAGCACATCCCAGGATGGGCCACCCTGGCCACCCCTTGAGCCATCTCCTGTCCCCACCAGCATCCTCCTGTCCCCTCCTTGGGCCATCTCCTGTCCCCTTGTCCCCATCATCCTTTTGTCCCCTTGGGCCATCTCCTGTCCCCACCATCATCCTCATGTCCCCTCCTTGGCCCATCTCCTCCCCCCCCGACCTTAGTCCATCTCCTGTCCCCCTCAACATCCTTGGCCCCTCCTTGGGCCACCTCATGTGCCCCTCACCATCATCCTTTGTCCCCTTGGGCCATCTTCTGTCCCCCCCCGACCTTATCTCCTGTCCCCCTCAACATCCTTGTCCCCTCCTTGGGCCACCTCATGTGCCCCTCACCATCATCCTTTGTCCCCTTGGGCCATCTTCTGTCCCCACCAGCATCCTTGTCCCCTCCTTGGGCCATCTCCTGTCCCCCTTGCCATCATTCTTTGTCCCCTTGGGCCATCTCCTGTCCCCACCACCTTGGGCCATCTCCTGTCCCCACCATCATCCTCATGTCCCCTCCTTGGTCCATCTCCTGTCCCCTCCTTGGCCCATCCTGTCCCCTTTGTCCATCTCTTGTCACCCAGGCCTCCTTTTGTCCCCTCTCTCTGTGTCCCCTGCTGCCCTTACCCATCCTCACCCCTCTTGCACATGG